GCTGTGGTATGGCTTCCTGGGCTGGTTGCTGCAGGCTGTAGGTTGGAACTCTGCTTTCTTATGTGGCCTGGCCCTTGTTCCTTTGTGTGTTCTGTCTCAGGATGATTTGGGCATGAGCAGGGCTGGGTGTTCATCTTAGGCAGAGGATATGAGCCTCAACAGCCAAGACCTCCTGGTTTCCTGGCAGTGCATGGTAGATAAGAGGCAGTGTCTGGCCCCGGAGCAGAAAAGGTAAAATGATGTCCCTCACAATCTAAGAAGGGGAGAGTCATTGCTGAGATCCTGGTGCCCAAGGTTAGGCTCTGACCTGGAGGATCTTGGAGAATGGGACTGTGGCTGTTGAGAGGATGACCCTGGGGAACCATAGTCGTACTGGGTGTCCAGGGCCCCTTTCTGAAGTCTGCTGGGTGAGAAACGTGACTTGGGCATCATCAAGCAGCACTTATGATCTCGGCTGCTGGCCTTGCCCTATACAACCTGCTCACAGGCTCAAGAGCATTTCTCTGTGTGTGTACTGCCTCCTTATTCCCCTCTACCTGATAAGAAGATGTTCAGACAAGTACATGACTGGCACAGGTCATACACAGGTTCTGTGTGTCCCTCCCTGGCTGCTCCTTTCTCAGCATAAGCCCACAAACAGGGTGTACCTCACACCCACTGCCTCCTCCCTTTGTGACCTGCTGCCCAACTGTTAGGCATTTCTAGTGTGCCAAACTTTGCCCACTGTGACATTTCCACAGGCCTGGCCTCTGCTGGAGCATAGCTTTCACACCTCTGTTAATCCTCCATCAGTACTTCTTTGAAGCTCTGGTGTGTCCAGTGAAGCTGCCTGGATCCTCAAGGTGGGCCCCTCTCCTGGCAATCGCTTCTCCACTAAATAACATTGTACTGGAATGAATTTCAGAAAGTCATTTGTTGGTACTCTGAGAATTTTGTCTAATTGAAAAAAACCAAGACAGCCGAGTTTAAGATGAAGACATGAAAAGTACTTCATTTTAAAGCAGGAAAAGTTTCATCATTAGAAAGGAGGTTGGTATCTGTATTTAGTGAAGAGCATCCCTCTGGATTTGAAGTAACAGTCCTTTGGTCTGTGTCTCAGCTATGGAAAGACCTGCCACCTTCTATCCAGACCCAGTTGAACTGGCTGTGTCTGGGAGATGCCTTTGCCACTCCTGTCCACTCCAGTCCTGGTCAGCTGGTCCCATTGCTGGTCTGCTGTGAGAGGTGGGTGAATCTGGAATGGTGCCACAGGACTTCTGGGTGGCCAGAGAGAGGCTGCTCTCCTGTGTCAATCACTGTCACCAGAAGTGTCTGAGCTACAGGGAGCAGGCCACTTCTTGGCCAGTCAGAGCTTTGGAGCTGTCAGCCATGGCAGCTGCCTCCTCTCCCTGCGTGTGCTGCACGCCTGACTGCAAAATGTGGCCCAGTCTACACATCTGTCTCCTGTCAGGCACACGGCAGGGGAGCTGGAGTCTGTACACCAGCATGAACATGCTTATACTCGCCTGTGCACATTCAGAAGCCCCTGCCTGCCTCGTGCAACCTGTGCTGGACTAGACTCCTCTCTAGGTGGCCCTCATGACCTGCACAAGTTTATTAGAAGCCAGGGGCTTCCTGCAGATCTGTGCCTCATCCCTGGTGACAAGAGTCTGATTGTTTCCAGCCTTCCCCTCAATAACAGAAGAAGAGGGCATCGTTTGTCACATCATCTCAGCATCACCTCCAGGAAGCTGTCGCCAGCACCTCAGGCTGGCTTGGCTTCTCCCTCTGGACAGTAGTCTATGACAGACGGGACTGTCCTGTGTGGAATGATTGGTGTATGTGTGTGACTGCTCAACCCTGAGCTTCTGGGCATGGTGGAGGGTCTTACTCATGTCTGTCCATGTCACCTAGCACAGGGACCTGTGAGTGGGAGCTGGACAAGTTGCTCTCAGAATGGCTGAGAGGCTGATGGGGAGACCCTGTGGAAAAGGGAGTGGAAGGCCTTCCCGACTTAGGCACTGAGACCCTGTCTCACTGCCTTAATCTGCAAGAATAAGTAGGAGTAAGTCTGAATTAGAGATAGGCTATCACCTTGTCTATCTGTCTGCCTGCCTGTCCTTCCTTCCCTCCTTTCTATGGCCGATTCACTAACCTCCTTTCCTTCCATCCATCAACTCTCCAGCTACACAGACGATAGGTGCCATTCAGACAAGACCGTGGGGTTTTTGGCACCAAAGCTCTGTGTTTCTTAATGTCCTTTGTCTCTGTGTGCTATGGGAACTGGAGGGTTGGGGAGGGGTGCAGATTGGCTGTGTGGGGTCAGGTAGAGTGCAGACAATGCCTGACTAAGCAGATCCATGTACTGTACCTTCACTTTACTGCAGTTTGAGAAAAGACCACAGGCGCTGGGAGCATGGCTCAAGAAGTAGAGCACTTGCCTGGCAAGCTCAAGGCCCAGAGTTCAACCCCAGTACTGCCAAAAAGAAAAGAAAAGACCATAGATGTCTCCAGGGAGAAAAAGACAAACATGCATCTAGTTTGAGAGAGAGGGACAGTCCAGCCTCATTTGTGCTGTCAAGACCAGATGCGGGTGGGAGAAGGGATAGCCTGGAATCCTACATGGCTTCGTGCTTGTTCTCTGGCACTTCCTTTGTTCTTCAGATGACACCTCTCTACAAGCTTCCTCTCATTGAGCCTTGCTCCCCTGCTCCATGGAGCCCCTTGGCTGGGTAGGATGTGGGTTTAGTCTCCAGGAGCACAGGAAGGGCCTGCTCCTGAGCAGGGCAGTGGGGAACATGGAGAGTGAAACTGCCAAGGGCACTGCAGAGCAGCTTCCTGGAGCTCCCTGGCCAGGTATAGGTACAGGTGTGGTGGGATCTCCACCCTTTACTGCTGCAGCCCCTGCTGGATGCAGGGACAGGAACCAAGCAAACAGTGGCTGTGATGGGTGATCATGGAACAGAGAGGTGGCAGGGCAGAGCCCGAAAGCCAGGCTGGTATCGACACACCCAGATCTGACTGATGATCGATGATTGCATTCCACGAAGGCTTGAAGGGTCCACCTGGGATTTCTGTCTAGGCTGGGGCTAGCTCCACTTTTTAGTACCTTAGTACTAAAAGTACTAGCCTCTTTTTAGTACCCACTTCCCAGATTGCAAGGGCTGCTCTGGCTCTGCTCGATGGGTGAGTGCAAAGGGGTACTGTCCCAGTAAGAGCAGCTGAGCCCACACTGCAGGATGTGATTAGAGCTGGAGCTGAAGCTTCTAGAAAGTGCTTGCTGTTAGGTAAACAATTCAGGCTCCCTCCACTTGCCTTCAGCCCCATAAGCAGGATCTGAGGATAGTACAAAGCAGACCCGAGAAGTGCCCCAGTGGCCTGTGCCTGATGGAGAAAGTGTAGGTACTTGAATGGGATTTCCTAATGCAATCCCTGTAACTGAGTGTCTGCAGTGCATCACTGCCTTTGAAATGAGCCACTTTCTCCCCAGAAGACAGCAGGGTCAATCCTGTGATCCCCACCCTGTCCGTTATCATCTTCCTGCTCACAGGACATTTGGAGGGGCAGGAGCATGGGGCCATGAGTGATCAGCATGCCCCTGCCTGATCTGTGGCCTCCAGCAGACACTCAGCTCCTCTGACCCACTATTTCCTCATCTGGAAAACAGTCCATGCTAGACCATGGTCTCCCACCAGTACTCTGGTCCTGAGTACCAAGGGCTGTCCATCCTGCAGCCTTCCAGGCGGGTCTGTTCCCCACTTCTATAGATTTTTCCTTCTCTATTGGGACCATAGCTAGGCTAGGATTCTCCCAGACATCTGCCTCCAGACCGTGGGAATGGCTACCTCCAGGGGCCTGCTATTTTTATCTGCCACTGGTAGTCTGTGTCTCTGTCTAGGGCAGTGCCAGCCTCTCTGCGCAGTTTTGCCACAGAGTTGCCAGCATGAGCTCAGACATGACCTCAGTCCAGTGGAACTGCCTGGCAGGCAGGCAGACAGGCACGTGCAATCCCAGTTTCCAGTAAAAAGCCTATTCTTGCTGTCTGCAGGAACCTTAAAACAGCTAATGTGGGCAGCAACTGCAGGCATTAGGCTAACTTGTCAAAATGAAACCAAGCTTGTTTATTTAGTGGCAGCATCACTTAAAGTGACATACCCACATCATGAGCATCCTGCCTCCTGAATGTTTTGTGTCCACCAGATCAGGAGATAAAGCAGGGGCACATTCCAGAACCTTCCTTTGGGCCCCTGTCAGTTTCCCACACAGTCTGACCCAGAGTGGTTAACAGGCTTAACAGGGTTTAAGGGTGACAGAGGCAAACAGCGGCCTGAGGGGCTTCCTGAAGGAGTGGACAGCCCAGAGGGGGCTGCAGTTCCACCCCTTGAGGGAAGCAGGCATGTGTCACTTAGGCTTAATCTGCTCCCTGCTCTCCCAGACCTCTGCCCTGAGGTTTGGGTCTCAGACCACATCTACCCCATCTCCTACTAGCTGTGGAATGTGGCCCTTTGAGCCTGGCAACCAGGTGCTAAGATGTGGTGGGTACTTGGCACCTTTGGAAAGGGAGCATGTTCTCTGTCTTGTGAGCATATAGTAGCCAAGGCCTGAGCAGACCTTCTGGGCTAGAAGCTGTCTAGTGTCAGGCTCTATCCACGTGACTGTTTGCTTCTACCCACCCTTCCTGATGCCAGTCACTCCCATGCACCATGTCTGGCTACTTCAGTAGCAGGGGTGTCTCTGCTCCATCATCAGCCCATGGCAAAGTTCCTTCCTGGCCTGAGCTCAAGCCTGCTTCTTGCCATCTCCTCCACTGACCTGCTTGTCTCCCCAGGACAGGAGGACCTTTCTGTTGGTGACTTGAGGGCCACTGCAGTTGCTTTACTCATCAGGAGTGCTCTGGTTGGGTTGCTCTATACCTGCCCATGGTTCCCTTCTGGCCTGGTCTCCTCTCACCCTCAGTATCCATCAGGCTCCTGTGCGTTCACAAGGAGTCTTCATCTTGTGTTTTGTCTTTTCATCTCCAGCTCCAAGAAATCCAAGAAACGCCCTGAAGTGGCCACAAAGCCCAAGCCTTTACCTCGGTTCACCATCTTTGATGAGGACGTGGACCCTGACAGGGAGCTCTTTGACCCAGGCAGGAAGCTGTCCCCCGAGAGTTCCTCAAAGAACATGCCTCAGGACTGTAAGTACAGGCCAGGTTGAGTTTCCTTTGCCCTTGGTGTCTGTGCTTTGTCACTGAGCAGGCTTTGGACCTGACATACATGAATAGAATGCAAGTCTCATCTTTGTCCTGTTTAGAATAGATGCCAACTTGTCTCATGGGTATTTTCTGCTGGAAAAATCAAACCTCAGACCTCGTGTCCCCACAATCTGGAACACTGTGGGACTGAACATCTATTTTAAACGTCCTATAGAAGAGGAGGATGACGATTTTCTTTATTGTTTGGAGAAGTGCATTCATTATATCTGTAGTTATCGGCTACTGATGTGGGCACCGGGGCTTCAGGCAACTGGAAAGTAGATGCTGACCTTCTTTGGGCATATATCCAACTGTATGATTTTAATTTTAATAAGAGATTTTGTGTAGACTGCATAGACTCTACTGGAGGGCTCTGTGTAGCGTTGGCACAGACGCATCCCTGAGTCTGACCCTACTTCATGCCTGCCTGTGTCCTCCTCCATAGGGAGGAGGTTCATGTCATCTAGTGATTCAGCCAGCACTTGGTGAGCAGCACCTACCAAGGGCCAGGCCCTGGTCCCCATCTTTAGGGGCTCAGAGCCCCATAGGGAGACAGGATGTCACCTGGCAATTGCAAAGCCACATGAGTCTATACCAGGGCTGAGCAGAAACACCAGTTCCTACAAGACGGCAGGGAAGATGTCCTGGGTGAGAGTGAGGCAAAGTGGCTCCATACCTTGTCTGGTTCCTGGGAAGTCAGCTGGAGCTTTCCAGGTCTGTTGAGGAAAAGCATTCCAGGTAGAGGCTGCTCCCAAAGGGCAGCCATGAGCAGCTCAGTGGGGAAATAGCTGGAGACCCAGGCTCCTTGAGGGCAGGGACTATGGTCAGGTCAGTGTCTGCTGCCCCTGTAGCCTGGTGGTGAGAGCCCTTGGCCAGTGGGTAGCCATCAGTGCCTGCTCACTGGAATATGGTGTCATGGTGGGGAGATAGGGATCTAGCTGCACTGAACCTGGGGAGCCTGGCACAGTGAGTCAAGAGGGTATTTCCCCTGACTCCAGTACAGTGGGAAACCCGTGAATACTGGGAACTGGAGCAAGGCAGAGGTGGGCTGGCATCCCTGGCCTGCTGCTGTCCTCTCACCTGCCTCCAGCCCTCATCTGATCCCATTTCTCTGATTCTCTTGCTTACTCTCCTGGATGTACCAGGAAGCTGGGCCAGATGTCTCCATCCTGCACCCCAACCACTGAGGACGAGCCAAGACATCCCTAACCACAGTGTTACTGCCTTCCTACAGCCCTGAAGCTGTTTGACGACCCTGATCTCGGTGGAGCTGTCCCCCTGGGTGACCCCTTACTTCTGCCAGCCACTCATGAGAGTGGAGGGCTCACGTCTAGCCTGGACTTCAGGGATGCCTCTGAGGAACTGTTCAGGTACCACTGTCTACAGGGGAGCTTTGCCAGCTCTGAGCCAGGGACTTTCCTTTGCCCTTCAAGAGAGGGATCCAGGCCTGTCCAACGCCTGTCTCTACAAATGCCAAGAGGCCAGTGATGGAATTCAGGAGAAGGATCAATAAGCAGGGCAGTTCAGCTGTTTCCACAAAGAGAACTTCATGTGTATAGCCAGTCTTTTCTCACACTCATGTTTTAATCATTTATATAAAGAACACTAATCAGCTGGGTGCCGGTGGCTCACGCCTGTAATCCTAGCTACTCAAGAGGCAGAGTTCAGGAGGATTGCAGTTTGAAGCCAGCCAAATAGTTCAAGAGATCTATCTTAAAAATACTTAACACAAAAAGGGCTGGTGGAGTGGCTCAAGTTGTAGGCCCTGAGTTCAAACTCCGGTACCACAAAAAAAAAAAACTAATTAAATTGCACAATTCAAGAGCAAGTATAACTGGCATAAATGAGTCGGGGAACAAATAAAGCTGAGCCTTGGTGTCATATGACTCACAGAGAGCAAAGCACAGAGGTACTGGTCCACCAGGAGGGTCCCATCAGAGGCAAGGGAGAACTAGGCCAAATCTGTTACATGGAAAGCAAATACAGACCTTGTGCAGAAGTGTTGGCTACTATGCCTGAGTGCTTGCTGTGTGTCTCATAGCATAGGGGTCTCTTTACTGATTCTCTTATTTACTCCTCACACAGCCCCTAAGGTAGGTGCTGTTCTTTGCATGTTACAGAATATTTCGTGTGGTAAAAGTCACTTGCCCAAGGCCACTGTTCCTGCCTACCTCTGTCCTGTCCTCTCTGCTCCATCAGAAGCTCTGAGCACTCGGAGAAGAGGCTGGGAAACCTGCCTCTGTGCCCCCAGGCTGTGGGTTCTCTCTGGGCCCACAGTGAGTGTGCTGGCATTGTGTATGACTCCATTCCTTCATCCATGCCCCCAGGATGCAGAGTGTGCTTGTTGATTGGCAGAAAGCTGAGCTGCCATTGGTTTATGTGGCACTGAAGCATGTTGTTCCAGGGGTCTGTCATATGCACCCCTCGTTAGCAGCCTCAGGCTATTAGACAGCCCTGTAAGTGCCCGCCAAGCCTGAGTCACCATGATGGCTTCTTGTATTTACATCTCCCCAAGGCCCCTGGCATCTGTTCACTGTCATCCTGTGTCCTCGCTCCTGACATCCTAGCAGTCTGGGAGGAACCAGGATCATTGTTATTTCACTAGGAAAGAAACTGAGGCACAGGGAAGCCGATGCTAGTCAGCCAGGCTGAGAGTATCCTTGTGGGAATAGCTCCAGGGAGACCCCTATGGCATAGTGTATTCTAAATCTGTTACCTACAGGCCCACCTTCTACAGAGTATGGTAGGTAGTGTGGGATGTTCCAAGGCTGCCTTCAAAGGATTCTGTGGCCAGGTGAGATGGGGAAATACCAACATTAAGGAAGACTGCTGCAGGCCTGGTGTGCACGGGCAGACACCATGCAGCATTTCATGTCCTTACTGGTCCCTGGGACCCTTCCTCTGTCATGCCTTTTAGCATCTTGCAGAGCAACTTGGGAATCACTGCCTAAGGAATGTGAGCCCTGCGTCCCTTTCTTCACTTTAACAGACATCTGGTGATAAAAAATTAGCTTCTTGAGAGCAAGAACCGTATTTTATTCTTCTTTGTGTCTGCTTTTTTACTGTTCGAACAATAATTAGGCTTTCTTATCATGAAAGGCTTTTTGGTAGTCATTCATTCATTCATTCATTCATGCTTTTGCCCCTCCATTCTGTCCATTTCTAGCCTCAGCATCAGCCACCCCCAGGCTGCAGCATGGTTGGGGTCAAGGAAAGTGTACCAAGCAGAGTTTAACATCTGAGAAGCCTCCATTCCCTCCTGCTCTGTAGCCATATCAGGGCCTGGCCTCCAGTTTCATCTTTAGCTGGGTTCTGCGTCTATGACCCTGGCTGAGGCCACTTCAGTCTTTGCTGGGCTCTGTCCCAACTCCCATATGGCCCACAGAGAGGTGCTGAGGTAGGCAGACTCCACACAATAGCAGCTCAGAACCACCCATTTATGCTTTCTCTGTGAATTTAGTTGGGCTGCATGCTTGGTCTCCACCTCCAAAGTGGTTATACATCCTAAGTGAGGCTCAGATGCTGCCTCATACTGCCTCTGTGGGGCCACTGGCCTCTAGCTTCCCATCTGTAAGTTAGACAAGGGTACCCCTCCTGGAGTGAAGTTTTGGAATGCCATAAGATTTGGCTAATGTGCCCAGAGCAGAGCAGGAGCTTGGTATAAGACAGCATTCATTTCTTAGGAGTTGGGGGGAAATCCCCTGAAGAAGCCAGTGGGGTCACATAAAGAGCCTTGCAGAAAGCGATCAGTAACTGGCTCTGCCCTGCCTACTGTGGAGTGGAAGACAAGAGAGCCCTGGCCTTGGGCTTTTCCTCAGGGCTGTGGGGTGGCACAGTGGGCAGGCCTTGGCATTAGGCAGGCCAGCTCTGAGCAGTTGCCCAGTGCCCACATAGAGAATAGCATTGCCTGGGTCTCGCTCCTTTTGTAGGGGTTGACTATGCTTAGGACTGTTCACTTTGGTTCCCTAGAGTTGAAGAGGACTTGGACCAAATTCTGAACCTGGGGGTCGACCCCAAACCCAAGCCTCAGCCAAAGCCCAAGCCCCCAGTGGCAGCAAAGCCAGCACTGCCCAAGAAACCAACTGTACCCCCTAAGGTAAGCCCATCCAAAGATGAGACTGGGCCACAAAAGCAGCAACAGCAGATCCAAGCCATGGATGAGATGGACATCTTGCAGTACATCCGGGACCATGATGCACCTGCTCAGACTTCTCCCAGCCTCTTCTGACCCCCAGCCCATGCTGTGTCTGGCACTGCATTTCCTCTTGTGGAGGCCTTGTGGGCCAAGACCTTGGACTGCATAGTTCCCTTTTCTCTTGGGCTATGTGCTCCATGAAGAATCCCTACAGAATACAGAGTAGAGGACAACATAGGAATCTAAGTCCACTTTGTCCCAGTCCATGTAGACATGAAGGAGAGAGTAAATGTAGGGATGTCTTGCTTAGCAGCAGCCTGGCCCCAAAAATGAAGTGAGACATGAGGAGGCCCCAAGGATGAAGTAGGAAACCTCCTACCCATGTGTGTCAACTGACTGTGCCTTCCCAGCATGGGAAGGAGTACCTGCTGACCTGAGCCTGGATATGCAGGAGTACCTGCATAGCTGCTGAGGCCTGGAGGGGACACTGAGCAGAAGAGCCCAGCTGTCCAGGCTTTCCCTTCACAGCTCCTCTGAGCCTCCACTAGTTTCCATCTAAGGGGAGAAATTGGACCCATCCCTACCTCTCTGGAATATGGAAGCTAGCTAGGCCCCAGGTCTTCCTTCCGCTTCCTTTCCCAGGAAGAACCTGGCCAGCTCTTGGCCTCTTTGGGCCTCTGAACCCAGAGGCCAATGTCTGTCATTGCAGCTCTCAGCCAAGTGGATCATGACATCCTCCAGAGCTCAGCCTGGGCCCAGTGCTTGGCGTGGGCTTCCAGCCTGACACTGCCTCCTACTCCCCATGCAGCATAGTATTCTCAGGCTTTTACTCCAAGGCCTTGCCTGTCCTCAGGGTCTAGACTCATCTAGTAGCTTTTCACCAGGGAGCCACCAGCTCAGGGAGAAGGAACTGTGCACCAGGGCAGGCCAGCGCCTCAGACATTTCAGACCCCCAGAGCCCAGGCACACAGGGCCAACACCACATGGTGCTCAGGAAACTCAGTGAATAGATGATGTTTCAATGAGCAAAGAATGTTAGGTGGCCTTTCTTTGATATATTTTTTATGTTCAGAGCTAATTTTTAATGAGACAAAAATTTTTTTAAAAGCATAACTCTCTTGTTCTGTTTGCTCTGTCCTGTCTGCAAGAGGCATTGGAAGGGCTCACTAAGCCATGACCTTTTCCATTCCCAGTTGGCTCCAAAACCCAATTCCAGAGGAGCCTCCAAATGATGCCGGCCAATTGTTTGCCGCTGTCAGTGTCTGGTGTCCCCAGCTCCTGCCTTGTGCAGGACCTATAGGGCCTGGTTGGGAGCACCAGTTCTGATCTGTCCTGTGCCTTATCATGTCCTTCTCTAGCTGCCTAGTCCTGAACAGGCCACCCACTCACCCCTCTGTTCATGCCAGAGTGAGAAGACAGAGGTCCTGTCCTCTGCCCTGCACAGGTTGGAGGGTCCCCCTCCACAGGGCCTAGAGCTGGTTTGAGGACAGTTTCTGCACCACCTCTCACTTCCCTTTTGCCTGCAAGCCTTAACACCCTCCACCTCTCAGTGCCCAGCAACCAGCCCTGTGTCCACACCCCCTGCCATCTGTAGAGGAAGGCATCAGTCAGTAGGAGGGGTGAGGCCATGTGGCCAGGTCTTCCTCTGAAAGATCACCTATCTCTGGCCCCAGCCCTCTTTCCACTCCTTACCTTCTTCTTTGTGCCCTAGCCACCAGCTCTCTGTCCCTCATTTCCTCCCTCTCCCCTTCCCCCAATTTGTACCTCTTTGAGTGACATAGTAATAGATGGTACTTCAGGCAGGTCCAGTCACCTGGCTGGGATCCCTGATGGAACCTGGCCTCCCACTGTCTGATGTGGGTTTGTCCATTGTGGGTCCAGCCTCCTCAGTGGCCTGGAGCTTTTTAGACACCTCAGCAGAAGCTTTTGCTCCCAAACTCCAAAACTCCTGTTGTGGCTCATTTTCACCACAGGTTTGTGACCCACAGCTAGTCGCTATCATCCAGTAAAGTCTGTGTGTGTGACTCATTCAACATTTATTAGTGTTCTTTTCCTTGTGTGGGCTGATAGGAGACAGCAAGGTGTGTGTGTGTGTGTGTGTGTGTGTGTGTGTGACAAGCTTTGCAGGCTGACATCTACTGCAGAACCAAAAGTGGGTTTCCAGGGAGCCAGGGAGGCTGTGGGTAGGGCAGACTAAGCTGACATCAAGGCCTCTCTTCCCCCACAGTGGGAATCCTGTAGGCAGTGTTGAATTGGAGTGTCGTTCCCAAGGGCAAACCATTAGGCTGTTCTGAGGACTGCTTGACCCAAGAGCATTGAGAGTTTGCTGTGGAAGAGAAACTGAGAGGTTGAATTTGGACAACAGTGTTTGTTTATTTTGAAGGCTGTTGTGAGCCTGTGGACAGGATGTGCTGCTTATGGCTGGGTCTACTGCTCCCTTCCTCCCAGCATTGTCCTTTTCAGGAAGTCATGAACTCATGCTAGTCCTTATGGAAAATCCCAGTCTTAGGGCTGCCCTGGCTGGCCTAACGTCCTGGGAGTCACTGAAGAGTACCCACACATTGAGCTCTGCTCCCACCACCAGCTCAATGCTCTGTGTAGACCTCGGCTCACCCTTGTGTGCTCATTGGGTTGCACTGAGGCTTGGGTCCTCATGCCAGATGTAGGCGAGACAGCAAAGTCTAGCTGCTGTTTGGGGGCCCATGGCCTTCATGCCTGTCACCTTTATGCCTAGTTTATATTGTGTTGACACACTGTGTGGTTGATTGAATTCCCAGTGTTAGGCTGATGTGCAAATTCCTGCTTGGTTCTCCAGCTCACCTCCTGCACAGCCGAGCACATCTTGAGAAAGGGCCACAGAGTCATCAATATGTCCACTGGGTGGTGGCCCTAACTGGGTATCAGCCACTTCCCAATACTCTATGTCTTCATGTAGACCGATAGCTGCCCAAAGTCCGAGTCCCTTTGAGTGGCTAAGCCTTCAGTTATGGCTTTGGATGGTTCCTCTCCCTGCAGACTTCTGTCCCAAACCATCCTCCACTCTGCGCCCTCAGGCCTCAGGGTTGGGGAAAAGTGACCAACGGGCTGGTGGTGGGATGGCAGCGAAAGCCAGCTGGTCATCATGTGGCCTACAGCATCTTGGTGAAGCAGCAGTCAGGCAATATGGTTATGAAAGGGCCTGGGTTCCAGTCCAGCTGAGCTATGGGATGTCCCTTACAGAGTACTGAATGAGATTCGCCACTGGGCTTATGTGAACATGAAGTCCTATCCATGCCTGATGGAGTTTCAGTGAGCTGGTTACCCTAGTTACTCACACAGGGACCCCTGTCCAGTACTAACTGGCTACTAATCCAAAGTGGCAGTGACCAGGTAGGTGGTCAGAGCCCTGTCAGCTTCAGCTCAGTGGAGCATCCAGCCCAGTCGTTGACTGTTGATTCCATGCCAGGCATTGTGCAGTGAATACAACACTATGCGTAAACATCTGTCCCTCTCCTGCCTGCTGATCTCTGGCTCTTGCTTTGCATGGCCCTGGCCACTGGTGAGAGCCAAGGGATTGCATTTCCGGGGTTCTCCTCAGAATAAAGCTGCAGATTCTGGCATGAGGATTACGGGCTCAGCACATCGCTTAGTAAGCAGGCTCTCTATTGATAACTTTCAGAGGGCCGATGCTTCTCTGCCAACTCAGCCTTGGAATCACATTTTTGGTAAAGCTGGATTATCACCCTCCAGCCCAGCTCACTAGTCGTGTTGTCCTTTCCTTATCTCCAAACACAGTATTCAGTGTGCAGCTCCAGTGTCCTGTCAGTCCCAGGGAATTAGGTTGGGAGAGGCCTAGGAGAGCAAGAAAAAAGCAGATCAGCTGTCCTGGTCATATCATGCTGGTGGCAGTGGCAGGGCACATGAACACAAGCCATTGGGAGCAAGACAAGGACACAGACCATGCAGTACAACAGAGTAGGAGTAAGGGATCTGGCAGGTAGACCTTTGGTGTTCAGAGGGCATGAGAGAGACCAGGCCTCTGCTGGCAGTCGGCATTCCCATGGATCTGTTGGCTGCAGGGTCTGTTCCAGGCACCATGGAGGGCACAAAGCTGGAAAATGAGCCGTTAAAACCGGTCCTACCAGGAGCCATGCTGAGCTGCTAGCTTTAGTTCCATTCTTTGGGTCTCCTGTCCAACCATCAGGTGCCAGTAATAGAGGCGCCTCCCCCTCCACCCACCCTATCTGTGCCCCAGTTTCTCCCCTCTCTGTCACCTGTCAGCGTGCACAGTTGAGGAAAGCCCAAGCCCAGGTTTTAGTCCCTGCATCAGTGTCCGAGAGCTGCCATAATAACATGGCTTAAACAACGAAATTACTCCTTTCACGTTCTGGTGATCAGAAGTCTAAAATCAAGGTGTTAACAGAGTCATATCTCTAAGGCTGTAAGGGGAGAACCCTTCCTTGCTTCTTCCTAGCTTCTGGTGGCTGCTGGCAACCCTTGGCATTCATTGGTTTGTAGCTGCATCACTCCATCTTCATGAGACAAACTCCCTCCATGTCTCCTTTGTGTGTTCACATATCCCTTTTGTAAGAGCACCAGTCATTGGATTAGGGCCACCATTAATCCAGTGTACCTCATCCTTAATCAAATCTGCAGAGACCTATTTCCAAAGAAACCTGTCTTCACAGGTTCCAAGTAGACATGAATGTGAAGGGCCTCTCCTCAACCCAGGACAGTCACGTCCTGCACTGAGCATTTTGCATTCAGGAGTCGGCCCAGGTGAAACCTTACTTCACTTCCCAGATAGAAAGTGTTGCCTCCTGCCCTGCAAAGCCATGGCCTCTGTGCCAGGCTCTGTTCTGAGTTCCTAGTTCTGATTCTGTTCTTTGGCTTCCTGCCTCATTGGAGCATCAGCGAAGTTCAGAGTGGTTTGCACTGATAAGTGGGGGCAGCGGGATTCCTTCCCCTCTTCCTGAAGGGCAGTACAGCCCGGGGAGGGTCATCTCTCACAGAGAAGACACTCCAGGGCCTTACTGAAGAGCTGGCTTCTGGGGCTTCTCTCCTTCCATCTCCTCATTATCCTCTCACTGAGCCTTGGATTGAGAAAAGATCTGGAGGAGGCTGAGAAAGGATCTGGAGGAGGTTGAGAAAGCCAGGGTGGTGGGACCCCAAAGCTTCCAGAGCATGAGGGCTGTGAAGGACTCTCTTCCCTCAAGATGGTTTCCTACCTCTGTGGTGCAGGCTGTTGGCATCTCCACATTTTCCTTTTTGGTTTATTGTCCACTTTGCTGACTTCCCCTAACAAGTACTCTAGGTCCCAGAGAGCAAAGTTTTTGGACTAGAAAGTAGAACAGCAGATTTTTGTTCACCTGTTTCCCAGACATTTGAAGCTGCACAGGGGCAGAGCAGGTGCCCAATAGCCTTACCTCACTCTCCAGGCTGGTTATAGGATTGACCTGCCCTAATTGGGCAGGTGGCTCTGGCTTCCCAGGCTGAGTAATCCCTGAGTGTGGGAGTGGAAAATGGTGCAATGCCTTGGAAGAAGTTTGGCAGTTTTTTAAAAAGTTGGACATAAGTTTACCATGCAACCCAGTAACTCCACTGGTAGACAGATGTCCAGAGAGAAAGGGAAACAAATATATGTCTACACAAAGACTTGTACACAATGTTCACAACACCAGATTCATCAGAGCGAAAAAGTGGAAACAACCAAAAAGTCCATCAACCAGCAAATGGATAATCAAAATGCAGTATATCCATACAATGGAAAATTATTTGCCATAAAAAAAATTAAGGGCAATACATGCTACAATATAGATCAACCTCAAAAATATTATGCTAAGTGAAAGACTCAAAAGACCACATACTGACGATTCTACTTCATGAAATTTCCAGAGCAAATCTACAGAGACCGAAAGTAGATTAGTTGGTGCCTCAGGCCAGGTGTCAGAACTGCACGTGGGCACAGGATGGTTCTTGGGGTGATAGAAAGTTCTAAAATTGAATTGTGATGATTACACAACTCTGTGAAATTATTAAAATCGTTTTATTCTACTCTTAATTGGGTGAATTTTTTGGTATATAAGTTATACCTCAATAAAACTATTAAAAAAATGTAATGACTAGAAAAAACAAATCCATAGCTCCAGGATACAGTGGCTTAAAGTGTAAGTCACCTCCTGGCTGTCTGGCCCCTAGCTAAGTGACCAGTGCCTTAACCTCTCTGCTCCTCAGTTTCCTTACCTGTAAAATGAGAATCACAATTGAACTTGTCTGTTACAGTAGTTATAAAGTTGAAATGAGCCAATGTTTGGAAAGTTCTTTGATCCATACTTGGTGTGTTGTATACCTTATATGTGAATAATTAAACTTCTGTTGAGTTGTCATTCAGTTTGTCTACTGTGGCCTAAGGAAATCTGGGGTTTAAATGTGCTCATTTTCCTCTAACAAGGACAGCCAGGCTCTTGGAGGAGAGAAAGGTGATGGGATTGATCTTGGAGTGGATGGAGGTGATAGGGGACTCACCTCTCATGAGCTGTGTCATTTAATGCCTCTCAGCTTCTCTGAGACTTGGCCTGCCAGGTGGGGTAAGGTCTGTTTCTGCCACCTCTCAGTAGGATGGGGGTCATAGGAGACCATCCATGCAGAACCACTTGAGACCCAGTGAGGGACCCCAGCACTGAGGAGACTGGAGACTGAGGGATTCTGGGATACGACCAGGGGCTAAATCTGGGTGGGTCATGGAGAAGGCGTGGAATGTGCTGGAAGAAAGCCATTCAGACTAGGATTCCTAATAACATCAGCAGGGCCATGGCAGCAGGGAGCTCATCCCAGCTCACCACATACTGCAGACCACATAGTTTTCTCAGCACCATGGAGATGAGGAAATAAACACATCGTCCTTCCTCTCCCAGCCCCTGACCTTTTGTTCAGAGCAACAGGCTGGGCAGGGCAGGGAAGGAGGTTTTGGGGAGAGGCAGCTGACAGTTCTGTGGCTGTGGCCTTGCTGGCTTGTAAGGAGAGTCTGAAGCTGCCCTTTCTTTCTACTCTATGCCTCCCCAGTTTCCCCCTCCACAGCCTGCTCACTCTGGGTCTCAGTGAGCCAACAACCCCCTTCCTTCCAGAAGAAGCCACAGAGACATGTACGCACGGATGTTCATAGCAGTGTTATTCTTAGCACTTCCCTCTGTCCACAGGAAGCTACTCAAATATCCATCAACCAGACAGTGGACAAATGGTGGTGCATCCATATACGGTGCAGTGCCATTCAGTGCAGAAAAGAAAAAATTCCAGTGAATATAGTTGTGAGTGGATCTCAGAAAAATGCTAGTGAAAGAAAACACACACAAAAGCTATACACTAGCCCACTTATATGGACTTCTGGAAAAGGCAAAACCATAGCAACAGAGCAGATGGTAGTGGCTTGGGGCTGGGAATAGGCAAGAGACAACTGAGGAAACCATTGAAAGTATAGACATGTCTAAAAATTGAGCGTGACTCTAAACATTTACCAAAACTCATCAAATTGGGCACTTAAAATGAGGGAGTTTTATTGCATTTAAGTTATACCTCAATAATGCTGTTAAAGAAGGAACTGCAGTCCCAAGGTAAATATTTACCTGAGGGTCCAGTGATCATGCTCCTTAGTATTTATCCAAAGGAGTTCAAAACTTATGTCCACACAAAAACTTGGAAATGGATGTTTACGGCAGTGACTTTACTCATAATTGCCAAAACATGGAAGCAAGAAAACTTCCCTGAGGTAGGTGAGTGGATAAATAAACTGTGATAATCCAGAGAACAGAATTTACGATTAGGAAGGAACCTTAAGTGCACAGTACTAAGCAAAAGATACCAATCTGAAGGCTGCATGCCATAAGATTCCAGTCCTATAACTGGGAAAGTCAATACCAGAAAGTTCGATGATTTCTGAAGGCTAGAAAGGGAAGTAGAGATGAGTAGGCAAAATACAGGATATTTACACAGGGAAACTGCTCTGTGTGATCCTATAGTGGTAGATACACATTATTTTACAATTGTCAAAACCCTCAGAATGCACACCAAGAGTAAAAGCCAGGATGTATGCTATAGACTTTGGGGGATAATGAGGCGTTCGTGTAGATTCATCAAATGAATCTCTGTGCAGGATTCAATAGTGGGGAGGGTATGCATATATGGGGCAGAAATGTATGGGAATTCTGTGCTTTCTGTTTAATTTTGCTGTGAACCTAAAACTGCTGCAAAAAATTAAATATGTTTACAAACAAAAATAAAAGAAGCATAAGGAGGAGGGTCCCTTAACCTGGAAGACACCTGCTGCTCTTGGATGTTGGTCCCTGTATCCCCACCTTTCATGATGTCCCCACCTGGACTCCAGGTGAGGCTCTGCAAACATTTTGCTGACTGTGATAGGGTTTCTGGTTCAGCAGAAGGAAAAGGGATAGTCCTCTGGAGAAATGAGGGGTCAAAATTCCCAGTCTGCCTGGAGCCCTAGGCACCTGCTGACCTTAGTTCCTTGAAAGCATCTGCTCTGTGTGATTTTCATCTTTCTTTCTGAAGTTGCCCTGTGCTGTCCTGGACAGGCAAGTGGGACACACATTTCACAGTAGAGCTCAGGACCTCTCAGAGGTGGGTGCAGTGCAGATGAGCAAAGCCACCAAGAAGCACAGACTCATCCTCCCTTCTCTCTGCCCTCCTGGGGCCAAGCTGAGAGCAGCCTCAGGCTGAGGAAGACATGCCCGGGGTGCGTTCCTCTACCCCAACCCGTCAGCAAGCTCGGGAACCCAGGTTACATGGACTTCAAGAGGACACACCTTCCTATGAGGAGACCCCTGGTCCACCTGGACTCCTGGAGCAGGTGTTGAAGCTTCAGTCCTGCCAAAGGTCTCACCAGGCCCCCTTTGGTTCAGAAAAAGCTGGACATTTACTTGTTGAGATCAAGGAAATGTGGCTGTATGGCTCTTAGTAGTCAGAGAGTGACGACCTGCAGCCTGCAGACTACAGGCTCCTCACGGGTCTGTTGAAACAGCAGGGTGGGGGGTCTGTTGGGGCCCCCAGCCTCCACTGCCCAGGGCAAGACCCACCCTGCTGCACAGCGCACCGATAGGATGGGGGGAAAGTATTTTGCTTTGTTTTGTTGTTGTTGTTTGGGGGTATTTTTGTTGAATGGTTGTATCAGGACTATAAACACTGCACGGCTACAAACTAGGAGCTTTACAAACATTTCCTGTCCCCCTCCTTAGCCTGAAACATCATTATTGTTACTGAGTGAGAGGCAGACTCCCTGAACTCATTTTTCC